AGACAACTGAGTATGACCCCTTTTTAGGAACTAACGATCGCAGTTCTGCACCTTCCTCACGTTGCTCCGCCATCATATGTTTATTCTGACTGACTGTTATTGCTGCTATTGACTTCTACTGCTTCAGAAAGCGCTTGCAATCTAGACGCAGTAACGTCATAGTGACGCAGTCCAATCCGTAAACTCGGCCCATAAAAAACAGTTTGGTCTTTATACTGTAAAATCGCGACGATATTTATTAACTGATCGTGGGTCATAAATATCGTTATCATGATAAAAATACTATTAATCGTGCAGCCCTAGATAAAGGTGATGTAATTGCATCATCTATGCAACAAATTCACTTACTTACGGGAAAAAAAATTAACCAAGATGCTAATTTCCACCAAGGAAAAAGTTAGAACACCCTCACATTCATCACTATTTAAAATTCCTAGAATTAGATTCAGATCCACTATATCTGCTGAAAATGATTAGAACATTATTACACAGCTTTTTGGTAGAGCCCGTCTTATTTAAACCATAGACATTAATTTTGGTTTGCTCTTGATTGCTGAAATGAGTGGTATTGCCATGGTGAGATCCAAAGACCTCTCTGAGCTCTGCTGCTTGTCCTCTATAGCAGAACCTGACTAGCTCACCATCACAGAATCCACTATGAATTCTTCATCACATCAGAGGGTGCTTGAGAACAACGTGAAAACATCTGTCCAGAAGTTGAAGCTGTAGTGGGGGTGGACCATGCAAATGACAATGACCCACAACATTCCAAGGAATGGAAATGGAGAGTTCTGGAATGGTCAAGTCAAAGCCTGGATCTGAAGCCTATTGAGATGCTGTGGGGTGATTTGAAGCAGAAGTGCATGCAAGACACCCTTCAAACATCACATAGCTTAAGGAATTCTGCATTGGAGAGCGGGGAAAACTTTCTGCCAGTCAGTATTAGAGACTGGTAAACGGTTATAGGAAACATCTCATTGAGATTTTCCTCCTTTGGCTGAAATATACAGATATAATTTAAAAGAAGATTTAAATATTGATATTTTGATATTTCTTAATGAAGAATTAAATATTTAATGGGATGTCCTAATTTTTTCATATGACAGTATTTAGGATTAATGTCTCCCAGTGTATAATAAAACATTACCAACTTATTCTTGGAAGCATGAAACCCAAGTGGGTTGTAAAGTTCAATTTCATCAGAGTAAACAATTATCTGTAAGGCAGAGGGCTGGGCAGAAAATAAAGGGCGTGATTTCATGAGTTCTCTATCTGCAATGTCATACAAAAACCCACTTCCGTATTTCTACGGCTCATCTATCATTGCCAGGACTTTCGGATGGGACAATAACTGTTCCATATTTTGGTCTGAGTATGGTAGAGAGGACTCTTTTTGCTCCTTTTTTTAGCAAGCAAGCGAGCAGTATTCCCAACAGAAACCTCCTCTGACTCTACAAAATGGAAACAGTCCTTAGTCACACTGTCCTGCCTGTACGTCGACATAGAGGCAAACGGATCTTCCAACTGGTCAAATACTGTCGGAGCCTCCTTTTCAAGTTCACTTCCCCAAACTTGTTGGAATGCTCTTTGTAGCGGACTCCTCAGATTGGTTACCAACAAAGCTTGGTACTCTTGCATTGCCGCCATGACATCATTCACACCAGTCCAAAAAACAGGCCCAAAAGTACAATAAAATAACATGACAGTATAATAATCCAATATAAAAAAATCTTATTTTGTACTGCCCTCTATAGGGTTAGAGACTACACCACCTTGTCTATGAGGATTAATAAGAGAAATCAAACTCTATAATAATTATAAACAACTGGGGAAACAATGAGGTTATAAACTGAATGATGGGGCAATAAAACAAATTATAGACGCAGATAATCAACAAAGACTAAAATAATGTTAATGCTGCATGAGGACAAACCTGCCAAAGATGGTGTCTTTCTCTTGCAGTCAACACAATAGAAGTAGCTTGTCTGGTCACAATGTCCTGGCAGGAATCATCCTTTAAAAAAGAACAGTCAGTATCAGACATTTGTGTAGCTGGTTTGAGTATCTTTTGGTCATTTGATTTTTCTTGAAGAAACTGCAGCTGCAGAAGATGAGTTACAGTTTATGTTGCAGATATATATTTTTTAACCTTAATGATAAAAGTGACAAGTAGTATTCAAGTGGAAGAGCAAGAGGAGAAGACTCCCTGCTGATTCTACTATTTTTCACCTGATTATTCAGAAGTGACTCTGCTGCAGAAAACATAAAATATCTTACTACAGATGTTTGGTGGAGCCTAGGAGTGGAGCAGGTAATGTCAGGTCAGGTTGGGGAGCATGCGCAGATGCAGCACATTGCCGCACCCACCACACGGCAAAACTCCTTGGGATCCAGGCCGGCGACCCCCCAGGCAGACACACGGTCCAGTCCCACCCTCCAGAAATGGCCATCCATCTGCCGCAGCCAGGTGTTACGTGGGCGTCCCCTTGGCCTGGTCCAGCCGCTTGTGTCCCCAGCAATGAGGATCCTGTGAGCCGGATCGCCCTCAGGGAAACGCGCCACATGGCCGTAGTGCCGTAAGTGACTCTCCCTCACAATGAAGGTAATGTGCCTCATTCGGGACTCCTCTAGCAACCGCTCATTCGACACCAAGTCAAACCAGCGGTATCCAAGGATTCTCCGAAAAGACTCTGCACCGAAGAAGTCCAGTCTTTGTCTCAGCTCAAAGGACAGCGTCCGCGTCTAACACTCATACAGCAAGACAGGGAGCATCAGGACTTTAAATCCTTGGACCTCTTGCAAAATTATTGGGAACGCCACACACCCCTTTCCAGCGACCTCATGACCTCCCATGCTCTTCCAATTCGTCTGCTGATTTCATAGGAAAAGTCACCAGAGACATGAATGTAAGTAAATCTCTGTACAAGGTCAGATTGATGTGATGCAGGGGAAAATCTGGGAAGTTCGAAGTTGTTTGTATGGTACAACCACCAGTGTGGGACATTGCAGGGGGCTGTGGAGGGATGAGGCTGCTGTTGTCAAAGCCAGAGTACAATGACACCGAATCGTCAAAAGCACCAAAATGCTGTGGGGTGGCAGAATCAGGACAGGGCTGCTCTCTGTTCTCCACCGTTGCATCCTCCATTCCTCGCTCTACGTTCTCCACTGTTGCATCAGCTGGCCTGTATTTATGGAGATGAAAGGGATGATAGAGGAGCAGGGGCTCAAATTCATAAAAGGCAGTTTTTGCAAATAATGTAGCAAAAGACATTTTCTACACTGTTAATGGAATACTAAAAGTTATGAATTTAAAACAAACCCATAACTGAGGTTGGTTAAAATGCTACAACTCACACATTATATACAGGCCTAAGAGTAAGGCTTGGAGAACATCATGCATTTAAGTCACAATTCTAAAAAGTAACACACTGGTTCTGAAAAGAACTTTTTCTCTCTGTCTATCAGTCAATCTCTATCTCGGCCGTATTTTGACGCACCACAATATTTGACGCACTACTTTAGCAGGATTCATAAATCAGGTTTTGTGAAATAACTGCATTAATAAAATCAAACCTGATTTATATTGAGTTTGACCACAGGCTAATATTACAGTTTCTATTTGCACATTTTAACACGCAGAGTTGCAATAAAAGCTCTGACGGTGGAGCTCGTATTAGTTCACAGGAGTGAACGTTCTGCTCTGACTCGTTCTTTAGCCTACAGTATGTGGCATATTCAGTACGCTGACAGATGCAAATTATTACCACAAACAAAATGAAACTATAGTCTCAGGAGCGGACAGCTAGCGCCGCAATGGTTGACCTCCTGTTATTCGTGCATTCCCCGTTTATATTTGCAGGCCATTTTTCCCAGCCGTGCTGCGCCTCACCGATTGAAAACCGCCGACTTAAATAGGGCGGGTGCTTTGGCCCTGCCTACCTGCATGCTCACACGTTGTTAGTGTTTCGGTCCAGCGCTGATGTGGCTTCCCGTCTTGAAGTTGCCGTCCTTCATTCTCTCCTTGATCGGTTGCTACTGTCAAAGTGTTCAGAATGGCTTCTTCAAATGTGATACCAAAGTGAGTTTGGTACAGCCATCGATTTCACGAACAACACGGATATCTGGACTACGACTACGAGCCGAATTTATATGACTCAATAATCATTTGAAGGTGAGACCTACACACACAAAGTAGATAACACAGCGCCAAATCATTTTCTGATTTTTGTCGTCTAGCCATGTTAGCTGGCTTTCTGACATGCGAACCTAACCTGGATCCACTTACGCGTGCTGTGGCTGTGCATAGAAGGCGGGAACAAATTGTTAAAATCTTTACCCCCTGAACCGAGGGCAACCTGGACGGTTTATCACATGAGGTCACCGAGGGGTAGTTACCATAATTCTGTGTGTCATAAAAGCAGCAGCGAACCAGTCATTAATCAATGATAGCATAAACAGGATTAAAATGTATGATTTTGTAGTTATATGATCTAAGAAAAAAACATTTTGTAAAACATGCTAAGCAAAGCTAGGCTATTTCGGAACGGTCGCTCCCCCCACCCCACCCCACCCCACCCCGAAAAATGGCATAACATCAGATCCTACAAAGTTACCGTTAACCCATGTTTAGCCTTATAAAGCTCAAAATATCCTAATGTAAGTATCTACAGTTAATATTGTGGATTTTCTTCTCAAACATGAAAAGTGGAACAAGTTTAACTTGCAAAGTTAACCAAATAAGTCTGCATGTAACAGTTAACCCTGGGACTTTTGGTTTTGGTTCAGATGATGTTTTCAGAGGAGGTGGACCTTAGCCTACATGGTAGGTGTTTTGTTGCTTTGCCCGAATATTATTTAACTTAAACAACGCCGTCGCTGTACAGTTGAATGTCACCATTTTATTGCCCATTCGAGCTGTGCTTATCATGACATAAGTCCAATGCTATGTCAAGACTTAGAGTGAAGTTGATAAAACAAACCCCTCTGCCAACCCGGTGACGTCAGCTGTTGCCATGGCAAGTTGAACGAGAGGGTCCTCGCTACAGCCTGCGGGGGCACATTTGTTGTTTAGACTGTTGTGTCACAGTAATTAAGAGCTGAAGGATCTTAGTGTTTACTAGTGTAATTAACAGAATGTCTACAAACATCTTGTAAGCATAGCGCTAACCCTAATCCCCTGATCTGATACCATTAACGTCATTGCATATATGGTAACTGAGTGACACCTTGCTCTGCCCACATCTCACCCTGCCCCATCCTGCAGGCAGCAGCAAGGTGTGCTTGAGTTGAACCATCCAGAAATACTGATATAGGTACTCTGATTTTCCAAAAACGCAAGACGCACCAGGGTTCCAAGCAAGCTTCTACTCATTTGATTTATGTACTCAAGGCTGAAGTAAGTCAGTGATATGCTCAGTCTCTAGGCACTGATGTAACTGTAACTTTTCTATGTTCTGGCTGCTAAGATTGGAGATGACTTGCTGCCTTCACTTTCTCAAGATGACATCAAGGATCTGTGTCCTGGTCCTGAAAAGTTTCAGAGGTGCAGGGCTATATGACTTCTTGTGAATAACGATGAAAAGGTCAGTTCTGCTTTATGTACAGTAAGTTTAAAATGTAATAAAATAGAGTAATGTACACACCTGTGTGATACCACTAAGATGTTAAATATTTACAAATCTTTTCATTTTAACATTTTATTTTAGCCAAAGCTCAAGAGGAATCAAGCTCATTCATTTGTTTAACAAAAATGTTTGAGCAGTGTAACGATAGTGTAAATCCATAGTTAACCCAAGTGCAGCAGCTGTGTTTTGTTCTTTCTGGGCGTTGGCCAGAAACAAATACAATGATATTAAATGGTAAATAGGATTTGCAGTTATGTAACAGTTTAGTGTTCTTGCACAGGGAGGTTCTCAGTTCTGTTGTATGGGCTTTAAATTTGGCCTGGGCAATATATCAACATTGTACTGATGATATGAGACTATGTCCTGTGTGATTTTTGGATATTGGAATGCTTTCGAAGGAACAAACAGGCTCGTTTCAGTTCACTCAAATATTTACTAAAAGTGATACAAAATGATCATAAGAAATAATAATCTCATAAATACAAACTATTGCATATGCATTATGAACAATAATAAGTCCAAAAATGCAAATTATTATATATGTCATAAGCTGTGATAAGTGTCCCCTTTAATCAATGAAAAATAAGATTCACACTCGGATGTGCCATCATCACCCACCTTCACTCTTAGACTGGGGAGCCCCTTTCAGTTCTGGCAATGCGCGCTCTATCCCACAGCTGAGCTCTGGTCAACACTGAGATCTCCCCCTTCCTTTATACTAATTTTGGGTGCTGTGTGCGGGCAGGGGATGAGCTGGCCAGGGTCAAATTTCCAATTTTGTCCGGGTAATGCTGGATACAGTTTCAATCAAAAATAATAAAACAAGTGTCCTTGATTGACACTTCCCCTTTTCTTCTGAAAATGAGAAGCATCCCACACACTAATCGATGGTGTACAAAACATATATTGGACCACCCTTTCTTCCCAGGAAAACCCCCTCAGAAAAACAAAGTAAGCGTCCTTGAACAGAGTGAGCATCCCGTAAATCAGGAATAAGACAAGCGTCCTTGAACAGAATAAGTATCCCAGGACAAGAATTTTTAGGACAAGATAAGCGTCTTGACTAGGGTTGCAGCTATCGATTACTTTAGTAATCCAGTATTCTATCAATTATTCCATCAAATAATCGGATAAGAAATACTTTTGTCTTATTAAAGAGCAATAATTAGTATTCAAAAAATGAAAAATAGACAGGTCTCTTAAAATGAACAACTCATGAGTTTCCTTTCTAGGAACATTTTTAATGATTTTAACTCCATACAGCAACTGGCGAGAACTAAACCCTTTTAGTTCATTTATGTACATATGTTCTGACAGGATTGTATCTCCTGGATGAGGTAGGAATGGTGTGTGTGTGTGTAAGCCTTTAAAGGAGCATTTAGCGGTTGCAATGTAGAAGAGTGAGCATATCAACATGCTCAGAACTGAGTCCTGCCCTCCGCTTTGACGCAATGTTTCGTGCTGCAGAAAAGAGACGTTCTGATGGTGTAGATGTTGCTGGGACACACAGAAAACACTTTGCTAGCTTTGCCAGGGTTGGATATGTCTGTAACAATCATGTTCAAAATGCTGTTGGTCAACTCAGCAGCTTGCTGAACTGAACATGGTTCAGCTACCTGAACAAAGCTGTCTATAAGACACTGTGATTTACTGAAAAAGGGGAAATAATAATAATTCAGTGTCTCAGAGTTTTACTGGCCCAAGGCTGTTGGGGGGGGGGGGGGGGGGTTAATTTTTATATTATATTTATATTATTTATATTATAATTATGTAAAATTATTCATATTAATCTAAATCTGCAAAATAATATTACTAAAGCCTTGAAATAGATCTAGTTGAGTACACCCCACGCTCCCCGTTAGACTCACCCCTGCTTCCTGCAGGTATCACTGTGACAAAGTGTGACGGCTGCTGTCAGCCTGCTGCAAGTTACCAAATTTAAATATTGTGTTAAACTAAGCTAACAGTTTATCTGCATACAAACAGCTTCTATTTTAACTTGTATAGCTTTACTGTAGCCTTGCTGCTGTGGAAGACAAACGGCAGTGGATGGGAGCAGCTGAAAACATCGCTTTTCTTCACCTTTCAGCTTGTTGAACAGCTGGTTTGATTAGGGACTCTCGCCAGCTCTTTACCAGTAAAGGTTTAGTAGCGATTACAAGCACTGCCGTTGTTTTCCTTCACTCCACCTGAGTTCACCATCTCTGTGACGGAACCGTCTCTTTGCTCTTTGTTGTTAGTGTATAGACAGGCTCTAGTTCCATGTTAAACTATGACAGCATCATTTTCACTGCTGTTGTGTTATCAGTGTTTTTGTTGAGGAAAAATAGGGGCTGCTTGGGCTGAATCTTGTACTTTTTAATTCACACATATGCCCATAAATACGTTTCTATCGCAGGTCTTTGTTTAGCCGCAAATGAGATGGAAACGCTCGCGCGTGCCTTGTACTGGTTCCACTCTGTGGACTGGATGCATAGACTGGGTGTTTCTGTTGAGATGTTGAATCATTGACGTTGTGCTATTGTGGTAATTAAGCTAATTCGGTTTTACAATGGACACACTGTACAGCATTTCACTTTTCTTTTGTTTGAAATGGTCCCCAACTTTAGACATTTTTCGTCTTTTTCTCTGACTTTCCTCGCTATTTTCCTTGTCTTCCTCCAATGCGGCATCAAAACAAACCTGCTACACGTACTGCAGCGTAAGCACACTGTGCGACAGTAATAATCCTCCGAGTGAAACACGCTGATCACTAAGCAGTACATAGTCGTGCGGATTACACGAAACATCGAATCAAAGAATTTGCATCGAGGTTTTTTTGTAATCGAATTACTCGATGAATCGTTGCAGCCCTAATCTTGACTCTTATCATGAGAAACAAGTTATTCATGAGAAACAAGTTATATAAGTGATCAGTAAAAAACATTCTTATACAGTTCAACCTTGTCACAATAATATTATGAGTGAATCATGGACGACGTATTTGAATCTCAGGATCCACACACGATCAGAATCAATCCACACCTCAATCACCTCTTACTGTATATATGTCTGCTAGGTGGAGTTGGAGGTACTCCACCAAATCGTGAGTAGTGGAGCCAGACAATTACAACTTCCCAAATCATCACATTCACAGGGGGACATTCAAAAAATTTCTTCAATTCTATGTTACGTAGGCGACGTGGCCATCTGTGACTTCCTCTTAATACATATGTGTTGTCTTTTCCTGGTTTTAAAGGCTGCATTACAGTATAGTGACGTCATTTTCTGACCTTACCAGACCTTATAGCTCTTCTATTATTTGCTTTTACCTGCTTAGTTACTTGCATTGCTGATTGTTATAGATGAAAAATCTCATTGTGTGGGCATACACTTTGACAAAGTTATCCTAGGAAATATCTAATTGTATGTATTTTAGGTGGAGACTGCTGCTGAACTAGAACAGCCATCGACTGGAGGCAGCGGCCTTTCACAAGAAGAGCCCTTCACTTCTCAGTTTGTCACTGTGTCCAGTCCAGAATACATAATCTTCAGACAGTGAACCTGAACAGGTGCAACGCTCGTACTTCGAGCATAAATTGCTGGGGACTGAGAACATCATGGATTTATCAAAGGAGCTTTTCTGCCGACTCAAAAGAAACACTGACCAATATGATATCAACTGCAAGAGCCACGGGAGATGCCAGATACCCCACCAGAGTAATGGGGGTGCTGGTGTGACTCGGGCAGTTGTTGTGGCCATCCTGTACCTGTCACGCAGGTGTGATATTCGGATGTACCGATCCTGTGCAGGTGTTGTTACACGTGGTCTTCCACTGCGAGGATGATCAGCTGTCCTTCCTGTCTCCCTGTAGCGCTGTCTTAGGCGTCTCACAGTGCGGACATGGAAATGTATTGCCCTAGCCACATCAGCAGTCCTCATGCCTCCCTGCAGCATGCCTAATGCACGTTCACGCAGATGAGCAGGGACCCTGGGCATCTTTCTTTGGGTGTTTTTCACAGTCGGTAGACAAGTCTCTTTAGTGTCCTGCGTTTTTAGAACTGTGACCTTAAATGCCTACTTTCTGTAAGCTGTTAAGGTCTTAACGACTATTCCACAGGTGCATGTTAATTAATTGATTATGGTTAATTGAACATGCATGGAAAACATTGTTTAAACCCTTTACAATGAAGATCTGTAAAGTTATTTGGATTTTTACAACATTATTGTTGAAATACACAGTCCTGAAAAAGGGACGTTTCTTTTTTTGCTGAGTTTAGTAGTAATTTCTTCTGTTTTCTAAAAAGTTACTTATATCTAGTTGGATGGCTAGATGAACACCGCTTCAGTTCCCAAACCTCTCCTCAGGGGCACCTCAGCCGTTCCATGATTTTGTTAAATTTCACCAACAGCTCAATTACATAATTAAATAAAATGGTTTAAAAAGTCAGTGACAGATTGACTAGCTGTATGGGGTGTGCTAGTGGCCTAGTCAAAAAATACATGGCTGCACTGGATGGTCACTGCAAATACTGGAGTGATTTTAGCAGAGGTTCTGAAATGGTTAAGCTGGCACACTTTGACTTTTTTTTATTATTATTTTTTTTATTCCTTTGGTTCTGGTGACATCGTGGACACCTAACAAACCAAGACCTAGATGAGTTGTAGAGAATCATTCAGCCAAACAATGCCTGGTACATGTCGGAGATGAAGAACAGATGGGACAACTTCTACTCAAAGATCCAGTTTTATGGTGTCATGAAGAAAGCTATGAAGCTTCCAAAAACTTTGGATGGAGGTGAGATCACTATACCTTGACTTGGCTAAGTTTTTATATATTGATATCTCATTGTGAGTGGATATTTATACAGCCTTGTGTTGTGCTTTCCGTCAAAACAGTGGAACATGCCGCTGCTGTTTTCAGAGCCTTGCCACTGCTCTTCCCATCCAGCACCACGCCACCTAAGAAGTTGGGCGCAAGCCCAACGCGACTGAAATCAACGAGACTTTTGCCAACCCGGGGCTGAAGGCGTACCCCCCCCCCCTTACCGAAGTGGACGTCAGCAACGAGCCCCCAGCCAGAGAGCCTCCAAGAAAGAGTGGTGGTGTCATTTCAAATCTGTCCCTCTGCAATATTGTTCAAACCAGCAGCTGGAATGTTACTATTCTCTGGTAATTTCTAATGACTTTCAGTGTACTCCTACCCTCGCTTATTATCAAAGACCAGTATATCACATCACCTGAAACTGGGCTTGATTTAAAGTGTATTAACACTGCAAAAGTCAGAAATGCCTCCAGTAGTAATATTGACAAGATCACAATTACAACACAGTTATAAAAGAACTCTGAATTTACAAACCTCCTCCAAAATAAAAGTAATCAAAACTGTTTATTAATTTATTTATTAATATTTTCTGGAAGAGTGGCACAGTGGATACTAGCACTGCAGCCTCACACCTGCAGGGCTGGGGGTTTGAATGCCATCCCTACTGTGTGTGTCGGGGGGGTTGCATCTTCTCCCCATATCATATGGATTTTCCCCCAGCTGCTCTGGTTTTCTCCTGCAGTCCAAAGACATGTACTTTAGCTGAGTGACATCATTTACATGCCAATAGTGTATAACAGGGTGGCTGCATCTCCTCTGCGACGGCCTGGCCGCCCATCCAGCATTAGGACTGGGGCACAGCCCTGTGCCCTGTGCTGCTTAGGATAGGATCCAGGCCCACAGAGACCCTGACCAGAATAGGCTGATGGAAGATGGGCTCTTCCAGAAGAGCTGCTGCTCTTTCTGTACTATATAACTTCCTTTGTATTTCAGTTCATTCAGGAAAATCAGCAGTAATTCATGCTGGTGTTAATGTACAGTACAAAGATTTGCTTTATTAAATATAACTTCCTCGCTCATTCCAAACAGCACTAGGCATACAGGTTTCACATGTAAAGACCTGAAGGTCCTCCCTGTTAGGCAGAAATATAAATGAGGCTCCCTACCTAGTCGGCCTACATATTTATTATGCCGTTTAAACATTTCTTTTGACTGCCTAAGGCTTTAGCACACTGCTGTATATATTTCCAAAATGTGTGTCTCAGGTTACTGATGCACAGAATGTGCAAATGAGGCAGCAGAAAGCCCAGGAAGAAAGAAGACTCCTGAATGCGGCTGTTCTTCCCGATCTTCAGCCCTTGCCCCTAAAGTCTCCCGTAGACCCAGCCTTGGAGGCTCTTTGGGAGGCCAAATGGATGGAGTCGCTGAGGATCCACGGACACGGCGTGGAAGAGCACCAGGAGACACACCGCCGTGTCGTGGAACCAAAGCTGCTGTATCCGTCTGGCCGGCCTCGACCCTGCTGCCTCGATTTGGGGCGCAGGGTAAAGCAGCGCCTCTGGGTGGCAGTCTCCTACCCAAAGTTAACCGAGTTGGCTTGACCAAAAGAGGTGACTGAAATCAACGAGACTTTGAGAACAAATATTGCCATGTCATCTACATTAAAACTGCCTTCTTATTCCTCTAACATTTTCACCCGGGGCCTGTGAACCTCTTGCTTAGCCAGGTAGCTTTTAGGCTAAGTATTGTTAACTCTGCCTTTCCAATATCACAGCGTTGGTTCATAATTAAGGTTACGGCTGGGTTCAGGTTGGGATTATCATAGCTATGATTCAGTTTACGCCTGTAGATATGAATGGAGAGTCCCCAGAAACAACAGGAATATAAGAAAAACCTCTTATTTTGACAACTTTTTTTTTTTCCGTCCCCACAAGGGGAAATTCAATTTTATAAAAATATGTGCAGTCAAATAACTAAAGATGTCCAAAGTCTTGTATTCTGTTTAGTTACCTATGGTTAAGGTCAGGGCTGGGTGTCGGTGGTGATGCTGGGGAAAGCGAACGTACTACGCTGCCATTCGTAAATAAGTACAACACATAGTTATGTGCAGCACATAATACTTCATAACTATCTTACTGGTTTATGTATTTAATATACTTTGCTTTTTAATGTTATTTTATAATGTGGGCGGCACCATCGAGGTTTCTGTAAGTACGCGCTATGGTGTTCACACAGCAAAGAAATTACCTACTGACACATTTCTCAGAACATATACCTGTCATTAAGCGATGCATGCAAGAGGTTTGCTAGAATCAAATATTTCAAATGGATTTATAAATACTAACCTAAAAATACAACAGGAAACGGAGAATGTCATTAAACTGAAGTAACAATTCATTGCAATCAACCACATTCAATGTATGCAGTGAAATCTATTTGACAAAAGGACACACACACACACACAATAAGAACGGCAATAATGGCCATTACTTTCCACACCAGCAATCACTCACAGCCTCACAGAGACGACGTGGTTACAAATCAGGGGTGAGTTTCCCGAAGCGTTCTTAACGCTACGTCGTTCTTAAGTTCTGTGTTAAAAGATGGAACTAACGAACGACGTAGCGTTAAGAAGGCTTCGGGAAACTCACCCCAGGTTAGCAGCCTGTCCTGGCCTTTGTGCCTCTTTACAAAAGAGCCTCGCACGAAACGGGCTCAGTCTCTTAAACCAAAGAGACTGGGAACTAGCAAAGGGAGCCACACCCCATTGGACGACTAGGAAGGGCAGGTGCTGTAAAGCATCTTATATTAATGGTGAGTAGGAATGCCATATTATTGCACCCTTTGAAGGACTGCTAATCTTCAAATGAGAAAGTGACGTTGGCTGCCTGAGCGAGAACGAGGCCTGGATTCTGGGCGTCTCTGTAGACTTGCCATAATGTTCTGCTAAATTCTGACGCCTATCTTTTCATTAAGTGCTTCTTCATGGAAGTCATTCGTGAGGTAATCATGCAAGTCTTTCATTTCCCATTAGTGCTTATCCGGAGCGGGGTCTCTGAGAGCCTGGGGGGGTAACATGGGGGACAGTCTGGACGCGGTACAGTACAAAGCTCAAACGAGGCTGTTCAGGAACACCGGCCTAGCTATGCCTGCCGCATGTCTTTGCAGGAGGAAACAGAGGATCTTAGGGAGTTAAGTGCGCAAAAAGCAAACCAGCACAGCAGTGAAGGGTAAATGCAGGCAGCTGGATGGATACAGTCACCCGTTCTGACGCTCACTGCTTTCAAATTGGGGCCATTTCTGCTCTCCAGTCACCCACTAAACAAGCACTTTACTGTAATTTACAGAATAATGCTCTACCCACATGCCTTTGTATTTAGAGTGTATTTAGAGTGTTAGGTGATCACTCTATGATGTTTTACTGCATTTTTAAAATCAAGGTATTATGCAGACTTGCTGGCAGAATTACAGAATATCGCTAACAATATCACCTCTGCTATATTTAGCATTACTGGGCAATGCTGTAAACATTAAAATTCTTTGTAATTCAAAAAGCTAAAAAGAGAAGGTTAATTGCAATGTGAAACACAAGAGGATGCTGGCACCGGTCTTTTCCCTTATTAATATTGCCAGACTGTATGTTGGCGGCTGGTGTCAGTTGACTGGTTTTTAATCTCCATTTGTCTGTCTAGCGATGTCACAGAGATACAGACTCAGAAACTGAGAGACTGCATCGGCCGCTACAACAGCAAAGCGGCAAACCTATTCCCTCGGACTTCCTGGCTCCCCTGTGCCGCTTTTGGCTTAATGAAAACATCAGAAAAGTATTCAGATGCAACTGGGATGAGGGAGAGGATTTAGTGGCCAGATGAGGCTGAGATGGTGCCTTTTAACGCTAATCTAACACTGCCCACACATCAAAAAAAACATGGTACCTGCAGTGAGCTGTGATGATGGCAGCATCACGGTGCGGGGCTGCTTTTCCACAGCAGGGCTCGGGCACCGTGTTGAGCGAAGGTGGCACAGATGATTACAAATACTGGCAATTAATTGCGAGGGATCCTGTGCCAGTCTTATAAAAGATGGAAGAAAGCAGGGCAATGACCCCAAACACAAGCCCAATGTAATGAAAAAGAACAAAACAATGAATATCCTAGAATGACCCAGTCAAAGCCTTGATCTCCAACTGGAAATGCCCGGCACTACTAAGAATCTGCAGTGCACAAGTGTCAACCGACTGACCTGAACAACCTTCAGCTATTCAGCCTGGATGATTGGACCAAAATTGCTCCTAAACGGTGTGCAAAGCTGCTAGATGTGTACCCCAGAAGGCCCGAGGCAGTGATTGGCAGTTAGGATGCCTCCACAGAATATTAAAATGTGAGGATTGGATACTAATGCAAACAGCATCACACGTTTTTCAATTTTTTTTACTTAGAATATTTTCTAACATTAAATCACAGTGATCTCGATTTCAAAGTAGAATCCATAATTCAGTTGAGTGAGAGAAATCCTCAGCAGTTTGGATAGTTTTCAGAGGCACTGTAGCTTCTTTCAGGTCCCTTGAACTTGACCTCAAACTCTGGCTTTCCAGAGTGCCTTATAAAAGTCATCTGTGTTATACGCCAGTGCGTGATGTTCACTACTTCATCTACATAAAAGTTACACTGGATAATCACTGGTACAGAGGTTCCTCTAGAAGAGGTTTAACATCCAGCATTATCAGCTGACTAGCATCCTGGGTTTTCCTGTGAATATGGAATAATATTGGAAACTGGAATCAAATATAATGCTTTTGGTGCGTTTTGGTGCGTTTTCATCACCTAGAGCTCCTGACACTGCATCCTGCGTCTGGCTGACCGGGCTTTTCCCCCCAGCCTGCGCCCCGATTTGGGGTCCAGCCTCTCAGTACTTCAGGCCATCAGCCAGTGGCTGCTTGCAGAGGGATAGGCTCCCTGTCGGGTGGAAGTCGGATGGAACCTCAGTCACCGAAGGATGGGTTTCCACCTGGATGCCAGGTATAATGGCAGGCGTCCGTGGGGAACCTGGCCATGTTTCTGTCAGCCGGAAAGCTGTGGGAATGTGCTGGGTCTTGGTCAATCTCCAGAAGACTCGCCAGCATTGATAATGTTCGGAAATCCAGCGTCTAGGGAATGAAACGTCACAGCAGCGTGAGTCTGCAAAGGCCTCCGTCGTGCCGGTTCCCCACTGACATTCTTATGGTCCAGTACCTGTCTGTCTTCCTGTCTTCCATCCATTTAGACAAACTGCTCACACTACAAACTTCTGGATGCAAAATTAAATTTATGTATATGGGGGTGGTAAAAATTTAGCCTAAAATACAATTTTGCCCTTGGTGTAATGTGACCTGTCATTGGCATAATATCAAACGGTACCACACTCATGTGTGTCAATAATTAATCAGAGCCATGCTGGGCATCGTAGACCGAGTCACTGTGGTTCAGTTCGTTCAGGTTTAGTTCCTTCCCCTGATGGTTGGACTGTGACAGAGC